GGGCCCGAGCAAGGAGGGGGCCCGTGATTGGCTGTGGAGTAGATTGACGGATATCGGTAGCGCCGATCGCCAAAGCCCCATCACGCCCCTCACTTTTTAGCATTATTATTTAGTGGAGCTTTTCCGTAAATTCCATGCATTACCATTAGAGATTGAAACGTAAAGTCTGAATTTGGTTTACCAATCAAATGCATTTATTATATATTTTACTTTTGAACGAACTGTGCACGTAGCCTATCTATCAGGTGATCGCTGCGCCTAATATCTGCATTCACCTCTCTTCACTTCATTCTGGTGTAATCTAGAAACGGTCATGCAAAGAACAATCTTCGATAAGTAAAAATGTCAACTATTCTAAAAAAAAATAGTGAGAAAAAAAAATGAAGAGAGAGGGGAAAACATGAGTTAGTAGATTTTAGGTTAGTTTGATTATTAACTTGATAGATGTATATTGCTTTTTGTGTTTGAACAAACTCTACAGGCCTAGTAGCCTATATTCGCTTATGGGTTGAGAAATTCATTTTGCACGTCATGATGTAGGCCTAATCTTTTCATTTAAACGCATTTTAAGCATTGTGGTTTAAAAACTAATTTAACTGTTCAGGGACATTAAGCAGTGGGGCAAAATTCATTTTGGCAAATGCGCACGTTAAGACGGTTTCTGATACGTGCGGAGCGCACTTGCTCGTACAGCGCCTGACTAAACTAGTTATTTTTCCCGCCTTGTGTTTAAACGTTCGAATACACATATGTGTCAAAATGCCTGTCTCCTCGTCAACACAGTTATTTGTGTCTTAAATGAACGTTAATAGTTAAAGATAAAGCATGTGCACTAGTTGGCTATTATGCGATCCTGGCATTATATGATGAGATTTTAAAGGGATATAGTTCACCCAAAAATTTAAATATTATAGTATCAGTTTACACACAATACAAATAATATCATTTACTCAGTTTCAAGTTGTTCTGAACCTGTATGTTTCTTTGTTCTACTCAACATAAAAGAAGATATTTTGAAGAATATTCGTAACCACCAGGAAGTTTCTGGTCCCTGTTGACTCCAATAGTGTTTTTTCTCTCCATACTATAGAAGTCATGGGGGCACAGAAACTGTTTGGTTACCAGTATTGTTCCAAATATAGTATACGTTTGCATTCAACAGGAAAACTCATACAGGTTTAGAACAACAACAACATAACTTTAATTTTGGGGTGAACTATTCCTCCAAAGCAGCCTAATATAGCTGCTGTTGCCATTGGAATTAGTAACAAGAATTATGAATTTGCAATGCATCAAAAATTTTGATTGGATAAAAATCCTATTTTAAGCTATATATATATCATTATTGTGATGGGGGGGCCCTGCAGTAAGTCATAGCCCCGGGGCCCAGTGAGGTCCTAATGCGGCCCTGGCTGTTACGTGACGTAGCGGTGTCTGACTAGAGGCGAGTCGTGGGCTGATGACATCATCGTTTCAGAAAATATACGGATTCGCTGTCCACACGAAAACGCAAGGGTGGCGTTTTCAGATTTATCCACTCTAGGACCCGGTTTCAAAAAATATCGGCTTCACTCTCCCAAAACTCCGGATCCATGTGGACGAAACGCCTATACGATACAAAATGTATGCATATACAGCTAAACACGTCTCCGTGTGGATGGGGCCTTAGTGACAAGAAATAATTTAGGATTTCTTACCTTATGGGGTTGGCTGAAACCAGGCTTTGGTGATTAGAAAAAAGATAGTCTCAGCCTCAGACGTCACACCCACGGAAGTGACGGAACTTTGGCTGAACGTCTGATGCATATGGCACACAAAAGTGGAAACACTTCAGGAGTTTCATCGGATTGGTTGAATTATACAGGATTTCCGGGAGACGTGTGTGTCGCGTTCTTTAACGTTTCGCCTGAAAACAAAGATGCCGTGGCGCTAAACTCCCTCACGAAAGAAGAAAGCCGTCGTATTTACTGTGACGATGAGCGCTTATCAGGATCAACTAAATGCTGGATTTTCAAAAGTATGTGAAATATTTAAAGTTCGCGGCACAGAATCTTTAAAATACGTCCGAGAGTTTTACACACCGTTCCGTTATTGTTGCGACATTTCCACGCCCTTCAACGTGACGCTGAAACGAAACGAACTGTGCGGGCCTTGGCCAATGAAAGCTGCCATGGATTCCAGACCTTCAGCCGTCAGTCTGAAGGTCTGGCTACGCGAGACTAGAAAAAA